GGGAGTCTGAGCCGAGACTCATCAGAACATGGACCAGACCGAGGGGAGTCTGAGCCGAGACTCATCAGAACATGGACCAGACCGAGGGGAGTCTGAGCCGAGACTCATCAGAACATGGACCAGACCGAGGGGAGTCTGAGCCGAGACTCATCAGAACATGGACCAGACCGAGGGGAGTCTGAGCCGAGACTCATCAGAACATGGACCAGACCGAGGGGAGTCTGAGCCGAGACTCATCAGAACATGGACCAGACCGAGGGGAGTCTGAGCCGAGACTCATCAGAACATGGACCAGACCGAGGGGAGTCTGAGCCGAGACTCATCAGAACATGGACCAGACCGAGGGGAGTCTGAGCTGAGACTCATCAGAACATGGACCAGACCGAGGGGAGTCTGAGCCGAGACTCATCAGAACATGGACCAGACCGAGGGGAGTCTGAGCCGAGACTCATCAGAACATGGACCAGACCGAGGGGAGTCTGAGCTGAGACTCATCAGAACATGGACCAGACCGAGGGGAGTCTGAGCCGAGACTCATCAGAACATGGACCAGACCGAGGGGAGTCTGAGCCGAGACTCATCAAAACATGGACCAGACCGAGGGGAGTCTGAGCTGAGACTCATCAGAACATGGACCAGACCGAGGGGAGTCTGAGCCGAGACTCATCAGAACATGGACCAGACCGAGGGGAGTCTGAGCCGAGACTCATCAAAACATGGACCAGACCGAGGGGAGTCTGAGCCGAGACTCATCAGAACATGGACCAGACCGAGGGGAGTCTGAGCCGAGACTCATCAAAACATGGACCAGACCGAGGGGAGTCTGAGCCGAGACTCATCAGAACATGGACCAGACCGAGGGGAGTCTGAGCCGAGACTCATCAGAACATGGACCAGACCGAGGGGAGTCTGAGCCGAGACTCATCAGAACATGGACCAGACCGAGGGGAGTCTGAGCTGAGACTCATCAGAACATGGACCAGACCGAGGGGAGTCTGAGCCGAGACTCATCAGAACATGGACCAGACCGAGGGGAGTCTGAGCCGAGACTCATCAGAACATGGACCAGACCGAGGGGAGTCTGAGCTGAGACTCATCAGAACATGGACCAGACCGAGGGGAGTCTGAGCCGAGACTCATCAGAACATGGACCAGACCGAGGGGAGTCTGAGCTGAGACTCAGGGGAGAGAGGGGACTCACACTCAGTGATCTTTATGAAGATGTTTGGAGAGGAGCGGAAACTTTTGGAAATATTTACAACAAAGAAAGTGTGTCATAAATGGAAGGTGCAGAATTCAAATCCAGTCGTGGAGTTTTGTAAACTTTCTGAGGGAACCCACAGAGAGGCTTTTTTATCAAATATTTAATAATCTAAGAAAAAATATGTCTGAAAATCTAAAAGTAAAAGAGATTTGGGATGTGATATTGACATAAACAGGGGACAAAATACTCTGGATTCGGGAAGATCTGTAAAAGATCAGTAAAAGCGGCGAGAGGGAAATGAACACATTCCCATTTTGGGACAAAGTTCTGGAATGTGCAGAGAGTGGATTGGTAAAACCATACCCAGGGCACCCAGGGCACCCAGGGCACCCAGGCTGTGTTTACTCGTGGATCAATCGGTTCTGCCCAGAATAACCAAGTGTGAATATATAGTTTTGAAGGCGGGGTCAGCAGCCGCTCAATGATTCTTTGTGTCTGGAAAAACCCATGGACGACAAATACAGAGAGTGGTCTCTCTCATAAAAACTATTGTCCAGTGGTCTCTCTCATAAAAACTATTGTCCAGTGGTCTCTCTCATGAAAACTATTGTCCAGTGGTCTCTCTCATAAAAACTATTGTCCAGTGGTCTCTCTCATAAAAACTATTGTCCAGTGGTCTCTCTCATAAAAACTATTGTCCAGTGGTCTCTCTCATAAAAACTATTGTCTCGGCTAAAGGGCCATTCTGACATATGTAAATATAAATATGTGTGTCTGTGTCTGTCTGTGTGTGTCTGTGTGTGTGTGTCTGTCTGTGTGTGTCTGTGTGTGTGTGTGTGTGTCTGTCTGTGTGTGTGTGTGTGTCTGTCTGTGTGTGTCTGTGTGTGTGTGTCTGTGTGTGTGTCTGTGTGTGTGTCTGTGTGTGTGCCGGGGTGTGTCTGTCTGTGTGTGTCTGTGTGTGTGTGTGTGTGTGTGTCTGTGTGTGTGTGTCTGTGTGTGTCTGTGTGTGTGTGTGTGTGTGTGTGTGTGTGTGTGTGTGTGTGTGTCTGTGTGTGTGTCTGTGTGTGTGCCTGTGTGTGTGTGTCTGTGTGTGTGTCTGTGTGTGTCTGTCTGTCTGTCTGTGTGTGTGTGTGTGCAGGAATGTGCATGTGAACATGTATTATTTATCATTATTATCATTATTATTATTATTATTATTATTATTTTTAGTGATTATTATTTCTTTTGTTTGGTAACTTCTGTCATTTTTCTTTTTTGAAACATTTTTGTGTTTTTTTTTTGGGCCTTTCTTTATTTCCTTTAAAGTAATAAATCAGATGCTTTACTCCAAACACAAACTGATGTGTGCGCGCTAAACAAATAACCTGATGTCAGACGTTTGTGGCGTCATAAAGATTGTGTTTGAACATATTTAAAGTTAAACTTTATTGAACCTCAGAGAATAATCTTTAACTTTGTTTATTCACATCTGACCTCATGACCTCAGTCTCCTCTCTCTGGCCTCTCTCTGGTCTCTCTCTGGTCTCTCTCTCTGGTCTCTCTCTGGTCTCTCTCTCTGGTCTCTCTCTCTGGTCTCTCTCTCTCTCTCTCTGGTCTCTCTCTGGTCTCTCTCTGGTCTCTCTCTCTGGTCTCTCTCTCTGGCCTCTCTCTGGTCTCTCTCTGGTCCCTCTCTCTGGTCTCTCTCTGGTCTCTCTCTCTGGCCTCTCTCTGGTCTCTCTCTGGTCTCTCTCTAGTCTCTCACTGGTCTCTCTCTGGTCTCGCTCTGGTCTCGTTCTGGTCTCTCTCTGGTCTCTCTCTGGTCTCTCTCTCTCTCTCTCTGGCCTCTCTCTGGTCTCTCTCTGGTCTCTCTCTCTGGTCTCTCTCTCTGGCCTCTCTCTGGTCTCTCTCTGGTCTCTCTTTCTGGCCTCTCTCTGGTCTCTCTCTGGTCTCTCTCTGGTCTCTCTCTGGTCTCTCTCTGGTCTCTCTCTGGTCTCTCTCTGGTCTCTCTCTCTGGTCTCTCTCTCTGGTCTCTCTCTGGTCTCTCTCTGGTCTCTCTTTCTGGCCTCTCTCTGGTCTCTCTCTCTGGTCTCTCTCTCTGGTCTCTCTCTGGTCTCTCTCTGGTCTCTCTCTGGTCTCTCTCTGGTCTCTCTCTCTGGTCTCTCTCTCTGGTCTCTCTCTGGTCTCGCTCTGGTCTCGCTCTGGTCTCGTTCTGGTCTCTCTCTGGTCTCTCTCTGGTCTCTCTGGTCTCGCTCTGGTTTCTCTCTGGTCTCTCTCTGGTCTCTCTCTCTGGTCTCCCTCTCTGGCCTCTCTCTGGTCTCTCTCTCTGGCCTCTCTCTGGTCTCTCTCTGGTCTCTCTCTGGTCTCTCTCTGGTCTCTCTCTGGTCTCTCTCTGGTCTCACTCTGGTCTCGTTCTGGTCTCTCTCTGGTCTCTCTCTGGTCTCTCTCTGGTCTCTCTCTGGTCTCTCTCTCTGGTCTCTCTCTCTGGTCTCTCTCTGGTCTCTCTCTGGTCTCTCTGGTCTCGCTCTGGTTTCTCTCTGGTCTCTCTCTGGCCTCTCTCTGGTCTCTCTCTGGTCTCTCTCTGGTCTCTCTCTGGTCTCTCTCTGGTCTCTCTCTGGTCTCGCTCTGGTCTCGCTCTGGTCTCGCTCTGGTCTCGCTCTGGTCTCTCTCTGGGTCTCGCTCTGGTCTCGCACTGGTCTCGCTCTGGTCTCGCTCTGGTCTCGCTCTGGTCTCTCTCTGGCCTCTCTCTGGTCTCTCTCTGGTCTCGCTCTGGTCTCGCTCTGGTCTCGCTCTGGTCTCGCTCTGGTCTCGCTCTGGTCTCTCTCTGGTCTCTCTCTGGTCTCTCTCTGGTCTCGCTCTGGTCTCTCTCTGGTCTCGCTCTGGTCTCGCTCTGGTCTCTCTCTGGTCTCTCTCTGGTCTCTCTCTGGTCTCTCTCTCTGGTCTCGCTCTGGTCTCGCTCTGGTCTCTCTCTGGTCTCTCTCTCTGGTCTCTCTCTGGTCTCACTCTGGTCTCTCTCTGGTCTCTCTCTGGTCTCTCTCTCTGGTCTCGCTCTGGTCTCTCTCTGGTCTCTCTCTGGTCTCTCTCTGGTCTCTCTCTCTGGTCTCTCTCTGGTCTCTCTCTCTGGTCTCTCTCTGGTCTCGCTCTGGTCTCTCTCTGGTCTCTCTCTCTGGTCTCTCTCTCTGGTCTCTCTCTGGTCTCTCTCTGGTCTCTCTCTCTGGTCTCTCTCTGGTCTCTCTCTCTGGTCTCGCTCTGGTCTCGCTCTGGTCTCGCTCTGGTCTCTCTCTGGTCTCTCTCTGGTCTCTCTCTGGTCTCTCTCTGGTCTCTCTCTCTGGTCTCTCTCTGGTCTCTCTCTGGTCTCGCTCTGGTCTCTCTCTGGTCTCTCTCTGGTCTCTCTCTGGTCTCTCTCTGGTCTCTCTCTGGTCTCTCTCTCTGGTCTCTCTCTGGTCTCTCTCTGGTCTCTCTCCTACAGTTTCCACATAAACGTGTCGTTGGCGTGAAACAGGATTAAACTCTTACTCTTTAAATGTTCAGACCTAATGTCTCAGTGTTTTAGGGATTTACTGAGAATGTGGCAGTAAACAAAACCATGTGGACCAGGACTGAGGCTGTAGACCCAGGTCTGAGTCTGTAGATCCAGGACTGAGTCTGTAGATCCAGGACTGAGGCTGTAGATCCAGGTCTGAGGCTGTAGACCCAGGACTGAGGCTTTAGACCCAGGTCTGAGGCTGTGGACCCAGGACTGAGGCTGTAGACCCAGGACTGAGGCTGTAGACCCAGGACTGAGGCTGTAGATCAGGTCTGAGTCTGTGTTTCTCCTCAGAGAAACCGGTGGAGCTCCGAGTTGAAGACTGTGAGGATCCAAAGAAGAAGAAGCAGCGCAGACAGAGGACTCACTTCACGTCGCAGCAGCTGCAGGAGCTCGAGGCCACGTTCCAGAGAAACAGATACCCAGACATGTCCACCAGGGAAGAGATCGCTGTGTGGACCAACCTGACCGAGGCCAGGGTCCGGGTGAGAGGGGGAGAGGGGGGAGATCGCTGTGTGGAACAACCTGACGTTCACACGTTCACACGTTCAGGCGTTCAGGCGTTCAGGCGTTCAGGCGTTCAGGCGTTCACACGTTCACACGTTCAGACGTTCAGACGTTCAGACGTTCAGACGTTCAGGCGTTCAGACGTTCAGGCGTTCAGGCGTTCACACGTTCACACGTTCAGGCGTTCACACGTTCACACGTTCAGGCGTTCACACGTTCACACGTTCAGACGTTCAGGCGTTCACACGTTCAGACGTTCAGACGTTCAGATTTTCAGGCGTTCACACGTTCAGACGTTCACACGTTCAGACGTTCACACGTTCAGACGTTCACACGTTCACACGTTCAGACGTTCACACGTTCAGACGTTCAGACGTTCACACGTTCACAGTTCAGACGTTCACACGTTCACACGTTCAGACGTTCACACGTTCAGACGTTCACACGTTCAGACGTTCACACGTTCAGACGTTCACACGTTCAGACGTTCACACGTTCACACGTTCAGACGTTCAGGCGTTCACACGTTCACACGTTCACACGTTCAGACGTTCACACGTTCAGACGTTCACACGTTCAGACGTTCACACGTTCAGACGTTCAGACGTTCAGACGTTCAGACGTTCAGACGTTCACACGTTCAGACGTTCACACGTTTACGCGTTCAGACGTTCACACGTTCACACGTTCAGACGTTCACACGTTCACACGTTCAGACGTTCACAGTTCAGACGTTCAGAAGTTCAGACGTTCACACGTTCAGATTTTCACACGTTCACACGTTCAGACGTTCACACGGTCAGACGTTCAGACGTTCACACGTTCAGACGTTCAGACGTTCAGGCGTTCAGGCGTTCACACGTTCACACGTTCAGACGTTCAGACGTTCAGGCGTTCAGACGTTCAGGCGTTCAGGCGTTCACACGTTCACACGTTCAGGCGTTCACACGTTCACACGTTCAGACGTTCAGGCGTTCACACGTTCACACATTCAGACGTTCAGATTTTCACACGTTCACACGTTCAGACGTTCACACGGTCAGACGTTCAGACGTTCAGACGTTCAGACGTTCACACGTTCAGGCATTCACACGTTCACACATTCAGACGTTCAGATTTTCACACGTTCACACGTTCAGGCATTCACACGTTCAGACGTTCAGACGTTCAGACGTTCAGACGTTCAGACGTTCAGACGTTCAGACGTTCACACGTTCACACGTTCACACGTTCAGGCGTTCACACGTTCACACGTTCAGACGTTCACACGTTCAGACGTTCACACGTTCAGACGTTCACACGTTCAGGCATTCACACGTTCACACATTCAGACGTTCAGATTTTCACACGTTCACACGTTCACACGTTCAGACGTTCACACGTTCACACGTTCAGACGTTCAGACGTTCACACGTTCACACATTCACACGTTCAGACGTTCACACGTTCAGACGTTCAGACGTTCACACGTTCAGACGTTCACACGTTCACACGTTCACACGTTCAGACGTTCAGACGTTCAGACGTTCAAACGTTCAGACGTTCAGACGTTCAGACGTTCAGACGTTCAGACGTTCACACGTTCAGACGTTCAGACGTTCACACGTTCACACGTTCACACGTTCAGACGTTCACACGTTCAGACGTTCACACGTTCACACGTTCACACGTTCAGACGTTCAGAAGTTCACACGTTCAGACAATCACACGTTCACAGTTCAGACGTTCAGACGTTCACAGTTCAGACGTTCGCACGTTTGCACGTTCACACGTTCAGACGTTCACACGTTCAGACGTTCACACGTTCACACGTTCAGACAATCACACGTTCACAGTTCAGACGTTCAGACGTTCACAGTTCAGACGTTCAGACGTTCAGACGTTCACACGTTCAGACGTTCACACGTTCAGACGTTCAGAGGTTCAGAGGTTCAGACGTTCACGCGTTCAGGCGTTCACACGTTCAGGTGTTCACACGTTCACACGTTCAGACGTTCACACGTTCACACGTTCAGACGTTCACACGATCAGACGTTCACACGTTCAGACGTTCACACGTTCAGAGGTTCAGAGGTTCAGACGTTCACGCGTTCAGGCGTTCACGCGTTCACACGTTCACACGTTCAGACGTTCACACGTTCAGACGTTCACACGTTCAGACGTTCACACGTTCAGACGTTCACACGTTCAGACGTTCACACGATCAGACGTTCACACGTTCAGACGTTCACACGTTCAGACGTTCACACGTTCAGACGTTCACACGATCAGACGTTCAGACGTTCACACGTTCAGACATTCACACGTTCACAGTTCAGACGTTCAGACGTTCACACGTTCACACGTTCAGACGTTCACGCGTTCACACGTTCAGACGTTCACACGTTCAGACGTTCAGACGTTCACACGTTCAGACGTTCAGACGTTCACACGTTCACAGTTCAGACGTTCACACGTTCAGACGTTCAGACGTTCACACATTCAGACGTTCACACGTTCACACGTTCAGACGTTCACACGTTCAGACGTTCACACGTTTACACGTTCAGACGTTCAGACGTTCAGACGTTCACACGTTCACACGTTCACACGTTCAGACGTTCACACGTTCAGACGTTCACACGTTCAGACGTTCACACGTTCAGACGTTCACACGTTCACAGTTCAGACGTTCAGACGTTCAGACGTTCACACGTTCACAGTTCAGACGTTCAGACGTTCAGACGTTCACACGTTTACACGTTCAGACGTTCAGACGTTCACACGTTCACACGTTCAGACGTTCACACGTTCAGACGTTCACACGTTCACAGTTCAGACGTTCAGACGTTCAGACGTTCACACGTTCAGACGTTCACACGTTCAGACGTTCACACGTTCACACGTTCAGACGTTCAGACGTTCAGACGTTCACACGTTCACACGTTCACACGTTCAGACGTTCAGACGTTCACACGTTCAGACGTTCACACGTTCAGACGTTCAGACGTTCACACGTTCACACGTTCAGACGTTCAGACGTTCACACGTTCACACGTTCACACGTTCAGACGTTCAGACGGTTCACACGTTCAGACGTTCACACGTTCAGACGTTCAGACGTTCAGACGTTCACACGTTCAGACGTTCAGACGTTCAGACGTTCAGACGTTCACACGTTCACACGTTCAGACGTTCAGACGTTCAGACGTTCAGACGTTCACACGTTCAGACGTTCACACGTTCACACGTTCAGACGTTCACACGTTCACACGTTCACACGTTCAGACGTTCACACGTTCAGACGTTCACACGTTCAGATGTTCACACGTTCAGACGTTCACACGTTCACAGTTCAGACGTTCAGACGTTCAGACGTTCAGACGTTCACACGTTCACAGTTCAGACGTTCAGACGTTCAGACGTTCACACGTTCACGTTCACGTTCAGACGTTCACACGTTCACACGTTCAGACGTTCAGACGTTCACACGTTCACAGTTCAGACGTTCAGACGTTCAGACGTTCACACGTTCAGACGTTCACACGTTCAGACGTTCACACGTTCACACGTTCAGACGTTCACACGTTCAGACGTTCAGACGTTCACACGTTCACACGTTCAGACGTTCAGACGGTTCACACGTTCAGACGTTCACACGTTCAGACGTTCAGACGTTCAGACGTTCACACGTTCACACGTTCAGACGTTCAGACGTTCACACGTTCACACGTTCACACGTTCAGACGTTCAGACGGTTCACACGTTCAGACGTTCACACGTTCAGACGTTCAGACGTTCAGACGTTCACACGTTCAGACGTTCAGACGTTCAGACGTTCACACGTTCAGACGTTCAGACGTTCAGACGTTCACACGTTCAGACGTTCACACGTTCACACGTTCACACGTTCAGACGTTCACACGTTCAGACGTTCACACGTTCACACGTTCAGACGTTCAGACGTTCAGACGTTCACACGTTCACACGTTCACACGTTCAGACGTTCACACGTTCACACGTTCACACATTCAGACGTTCACACGTTCAGACGTTCAGACGTTCAGACGTTCACACGTTCACACGTTCAGACGTTCAGACGTTCACACGTTCAGACGTTCACACGTTCAGACGTTCCGTTTTTCACACGTTCAGACGTTCACACATTCATACGTTCGCACGTTTGCACGTTCACACGTTTGCACGTTCACACGTTCAGACGTTCACACGTTCAGACGTTCACACGTTCACACGTTCACACGTTCAGACAATCACACGTTCACAGTTCAGACGTTCACACGTTCACAGTTCAGACGTTCAGACGTTCACACGTTCAGACGTTCACACGTTCAGACGTTCACACGTTCAGACGTTCACACGTTCAGACGTTCAGAGGTTCAGACGTTCACGCGTTCAGGCGTTCACACGTTCAGGCGTTCACACGTTCACACGTTCAGACGTTCACACGTTCACACGTTCAGACGTTCACACGATCAGACGTTCACACGTTCAGACGTTCACACGTTCAGAGGTTCAGAGGTTCAGACGTTCACGCGTTCAGGCTTTCACGCGTTCACACGTTCACACGTTCAGACGTTCACACGTTCAGACGTTCACACGTTCACACGTTCAGACGTTCACACGATCAGACGTTCACACGTTCAGACGTTCACACGTTCACACGTTCACACGTTCACACGTTCAGACGTTCAGACGTTCACACGTTCAGACGTTCACACGTTCACAGTTCAGACGTTCAGACGTTCACACGTTCAGACGTTCACACGTTCACACGTTCACACGTTCAGACGTTCAGACGTTCAGACGTTCACGCGTTCAGGCGTTCAGGCGTTCACACGTTCACACGTTCAGACGTTCACACGTTCAGACGTTCACACGTTCAGACGTTCAGACGTTCACACGTTCACAGTTCAGACGTTCACACGTTCACACGTTCAGACGTTCACACGTTCAGACGTTCACACGTTCAGACGTTCAGACGTTCACACATTCAGACGTTCACACGTTCACACGTTCAGACGTTCACACGTTTACACGTTCAGACGTTCACACGTTCACACGTTCACACGTTCACACGTTCAGACGTTCAGACGTTCACACGTTCAGACGTTCACACGTTCAGACGTTCACACGTTCACAGTTCAGACGTTCAGACGTTCAGACGTTCAGACGTTCACACGTTTACACGTTCAGACATTCAGACGTTCACACGTTCACACGTTCACACGTTCAGACGTTCAGACGTTCACACGTTCAGACGTTCACACGTTCACAATTCAGACGTTCAGACGTTCACACGTTCAGACGTTCACACGTTCACACGTTCAGACGTTCACACGTTCAGACGTTCACACGTTCACACGTTCACACGTTCAGACGTTCAGACGTTCAGACGTTCACACGTTCACACGTTCACACGTTCAGACGTTCAGACGTTCACACGTTCAGACGTTCAGACGTTCACACGTTCAGACGTTCACACGTTCAGACGTTCAGACGTTCAGACGTTCACACGTTCAGACGTTCAGACGTTCAGACGTTCACACGTTCACACGTTCAGACGTTCACACGTTCAGACGTTCACACGTTCAGACGTTCACACGTTCACACGTTCACACGTTCAGACGTTCACACGTTCAGACGTTCACACGTTCAGAGGTTCAGAGGTTCAGACGTTCACGCGTTCAGGCTTTCACGCGTTCACACGTTCACACGTTCAGACGTTCACACGTTCAGACGTTCACACGTTCACACGTTCAGACGTTCACACGTTCAGACGTTCACACAATCAGACGTTCACACGTTCAGACGTTCACACGTTCACACGTTCAGACGTTCACACGTTCAGACGTTCACACGTTCAGACGTTCACAGTTCAGACGTTCAGACGTTCACACGTTCAGACGTTCACACGTTCACACGTTCACACGTTCAGACGTTCAGACGTTCAGACGTTCACGCGTTCAGGCGTTCAGGCGTTCACACGTTCACACGTTCACACGTTCAGACGTTCACACGTTCAGACGTTCACACGTTCACAGTTCAGACGTTCACACGTTCACACGTTCAGACGTTCACACGTTCAGACGTTCACACGTTCAGACGTTCAGACGTTCAGACGTTCACACATTCAGACGTTCACACGTTCACACGTTCAGACGTTCACACGTTTACACGTTCAGACGTTCAGACGTTCACACGTTCACACGTTCACACGTTCAGACGTTCAGACGTTCACACGTTCAGACGTTCACACGTTCAGACGTTCACACGTTCACAGTTCAGACGTTCAGACGTTCAGACGTTCAGACGTTCAGACGTTCAGACGTTCACACGTTTACACGTTCAGACATTCAGACGTTCACACGTCCACACGTTCACACGTTCAGACGTTCAGACGTTCACACGTTCAGACGTTCACACGTTCACAGTTCAGACGTTCAGACGTTCACACGTTCAGACGTTCACACGTTCACACGTTCAGACGTTCACACGTTCAGACGTTCACACGTTCACACGTTCACACGTTCAGACGTTCAGACGTTCAGACGTTCACACGTTCACACGTTCACACGTTCAGACGTTCAGACGTTCACACGTTCAGACGTTCAGACGTTCACACGTTCAGACGTTCACACGTTCAGACGTTCAGACGTTCAGACGTTCAGACGTTCACACGTTCAGACGTTCAGACGTTCAGACGTTCACACGTTCACACGTTCAGACGTTCACACGTTCAGACGTTCACACGTTCAGACGTTCACACGTTCACACGTTCAGACGTTCACACGTTCAGACGTTCACACGTTCAGACGTTCACACGTTCACACGTTCAGACGTTCACACGTTCACACGTTCAGACGTTCACACGTTCAGACGTTCACACGTTCAGACGTTCACACGTTCACACGTTCAGACGTTCACACGTTCAGACGTTCACACGTTCAGACGTTCACACGTTCAGACGTTCAGACGTTCACACGTTCACACGTTCAGACGTTCAGACGTTCAGACGCTGAGGCCCAGAGAATGATGTTCATTATTTATTCATTTACTTCTAAAGTTCAGACGCTGCAGTGGGTCTGACACCTTTGTATAATATAGAGTTCAGTACAGGTTTGTGTGTTTGTTTGTGTGTGTGTGTGTGTGTGTGTGTGTGTTCTAACCTGAGTGTGTGTGTTGCAGGTGTGTGTGTTCTTACCCGTGTGTTGTGTGTTGCAGGTGTGTGTGTGTTGCAGGTGTGGTTCTTACCCGTGTGTTGTGTGTTGCAGGTGTGGTTTAAGAACCGGCGGGCCAAGTGGAGGAAGCGTGAGCGGAACCAGCAGATGGACCTGTGTAAGAACTCGTACCTGCCTCAGTTCTCGGGGCTGGTGCAGCCGTACGACGACATGTACCCCACCTACAGCTACAACAACTGGACCAATAAGACGCTGGCGCCGGCGCCGCTCTCCTCCAAGAACTTCCCGTTCTTCAACAGCATGAACCCGCTGACCTCTCAGTCCATGTTCCCCTCTGCTCCTAACTCCATCACCATGACGATGGCGTCCGGGATGGGCCACTCGGCCGCCATGGCAGCGCCGGGACTCAACAACATGAACCTGAACGGCATCGGCGCCTCCGGCATTAACTCGGCCATGACGTCGTCGGCGTGTCCTTACGGGCCGCCGGCCTCGCCGTACAGCGTCTACAGAGACACGTGCGGCTCCAGCCTGGCCTCGCTGCGCCTCAAGTCCAAGCCGCACCCGCCCTTCGCCTACAGCGGCTTGTCGAGCGCCAGCTCTAGTCTGAGCTCCAGCCTGAACGCCTGTCAGTACAACAGCTGACCTCCAGGGCCATTAGACCTTCTCTGACCAGGGTCTAAAGTCTACAGTCAGATGGTCCTCAGGGCAGGTGCGGCTGCAGCACAGACTCCGCCCACTTCCTCACTTTGAACTGAAAGATTTGAGAAATGGGCGGAGTCTGGCGTTCTCCGATGATGATCCACGAGACTCGACCACATCTATGGACCAAAAGACTGTTCTCTGATCTGTGTTGGAGAATCGACAACTTTGTAAAGTCCTCAGAGAAAACTGATGATTTAGAACCCGGTGAAAATATAAATAAACTGAACTAAGTTAAGAACCATCAAAACAGCTCCAGGTCCTGAACCATCACCTCAGACCTTCACTGTTGCTCTGTGTAAATACTGCTGCGTCACATGGTCACGTCACATGGTCGCTCCACATGGTCACGTCACATTGTCACATCACATGGTCGTGTCACATGGTGGCATCACATGGTCACGTCACATGATCATGTCACATGGTCGTTTTAAATGGTCGCGTCACATGGTTGTGTCACATGGTGGCATCACATGGTCACTTCACATGGTCATGTCACATGGCGGCGTCACATGGCGGCGTCACATGGCTACTCCACATGGTCATGTCACACATCATGTCACATGGTCATGTCACATGGTCATGTCACATGGTCATGTCACATGGCGGCTCCACCTGGTCACGTCGCATGGTCATGTCACATGGCCGCTCCACACGGTCACGTCACATGGTCGCGTCACATGGTCACGTCACATGGTCACGTCACATGGTCACGTCACATAGTCACGTCACATGGTCACGTCACATGGTCACGTCACATGGTCATGTCACATGGCGGCTCCACCTGGTCACGTCGCATGGTCATGTCACATGGCCGCTCCACACGGTCACGTCACATGGTTGCGTCACACGGTCACGTCACATGGTCACGTCACATAGTCACGTCACATGGTCACGTCACATGGTCACATGACTCTGACCTGTCTTCTCTGTGCTGGACTCGGGCTCTTGGGGCTGAAGCGTTCGTCTCGTCTGTTATAAAGTGTGAAAGTGAAACCGTCCTGAAGCCTCTGAAACATCCTCCTCTGCAGGGGGCGCTGTTGTCCTCATGGTGCAGTGTGCACGCTCCTCTGCAGGGGGCGCTGTTGTCCTCATGGTGCAGTGTGCACGCTCCTCTGCAGGGGGCGCTGTTGTCCTCATGGTGCAGTGTGCACGCTCCTCTGCAGGGGGCGCTGTTGTCCTCATGGTGCAGTGTGCACGCTCCTCTGCAGGGGGCGCTGTTGTCCTCATGGTGCAGTGTGCACGCTCCTCTGCAGGGGGCGCTGTTGTCCTCATGGTGCAGTGTGCACGCTCCTCTGCAGGGGGCGCTGTCTGTACCATGTGCTTAGCTTTAATCGTATACAGTCCATATGGTGATTCTTGTGTTCATAGTAAATATGTTTGTTTGAATAAAAATAACTTTTATTTCACACACGACACATCAGTCTCTTCTGTACATGTTTGGAACTCCACCTGCTGGTGAGGGTGGGAACTGCAGGAACACTCCACCTGCTGGTGAGGGTGGGAACTGCAGGAACACTCCACCTGCTGGTGAGGGTGGGAACTGCAGGAACACTCCACCTGCTGGTGAGGGTGGGAACTGCAGGAACACTCTACCTGCTGGTGACAGTGGGAACTGCAGGAACACTCCACCTGCTGGTGAGGGTGGGAACTGCAGGAACACTCCACCTGCTGGTGACAGTGGGAACTGCAGGAACACTCCACCTGCTGGTGAGGGTGGGAACTGCAGGAACACTCCACCTGCTGGTGACAGTGGGAACTGCAGGAACACTCCAACTGCTGGTGACAGTGGGAACTGCAGGAACACTCCACCTGCTGGTGACAGTGGGAACTGCAGGAACACTCCACCTGCTGGTGACAGTGGGAACTGCAGGAACACTCCAACTGCTGGTGACAGTGGGAACTGCAGGAACACTCCACCTGCTGGTCACAGTGGGAACTGCAGGAACCCTCCACCTGCTGGTGACAGTGGGAACTGCAGGAACACTCCAACTGCTGGTGACAGTGGGAACTGCAGGAACACTCCAACTGCTGGTGACAGTGGGAACTGCAGGAACACTCCACCTGCTGGTCACAGTGGGAACTGCAGGAACACTCCACCTGCTGGTGACAGTGGGAACTGCAGGAACACTCCACTTGCTGGTGATGGGGGGAACTGCAGCTTTAAAACCCGTGGTTATGTGGGAAATGGATTTCACCAAAATCACAGAAAATGTTTTTTTTATGTAACACAAGTAGTTAGTCCTGACACCTGCATACTCCGCCTCCTCATACCTGCTGACTCCGCCTCCTCATACCTGCTGACTCCGCCTCCTCATACCTGCTGACTCCGCCTCCTCATACCTGCTGACTCCGCCTTCTCATACCTGCTGACTCCGCCTCCTCATACCTGCTGACTCCGCCTCCTCATATCTCCAATGCACAAGTGTCAGATACAGACGTCCACAGGTGTCACATACAGACGTCCACAGGTGTCACATACAGACGTCCACAGGTGTCACATACAGACGTCCACAAGTGTCACATACAGACGTCCACAGGTGTCAGATACAGACGTCCACAGGTGTCAGATACAGACATCCACAGGTGTCAGATACAGACGTCCACAGGTGTCAGATACAGATGTCCACAGGTGTCAGATACAGACGTCCACAGGTTTCAGATGCAGACGTCCACAGGTGTCAGATACAGACGTCCACAGGTGTCAGATACAGACGTCCACAGGTGTCAGATACAGATACAATACAATACAATTTATTCTTGTATAGCCCTAGGTCACAACAGAAGTCATCTCAGAGGACTTAACAAAACCATTGAAATCACCAACACAGGTCAGAGAATCAACAGTTAAAACACATGAAGAATATAAAGCACACACAGAAGAAAATGTCCATACATGTTGTAGAATGCTAAAGTGTCCTGATCATCACCAATCCTTTCTGTTGGACACTAACTGTCCAACAAGACCCTCCTGCATCGACAAGGAAAAACTCTTAAAAAACCCAGTGGGAAAAAGTGAGAAACCTTGGGGGAGAACTAGGGAAACCCACAGGGAGGGAGACCCATATGAGAAAGGGATCCGCTCCTCCGGACGGACAGGCTAATGATCCAGGACCTAAGCTAGCTACAGGACGTGGACCAGTGGACGCTGAACGTGGACAGGTCCGGTGCAGGACCGAAGCACTCCCAGGCGGGTCGGGCGGGGCAGTCCGCAGGTGTAGATGGAGGAGGCCAGGCTCAGAGATCCCGTCATCGTACCATGAAACAGACAATGGGACAACGGGTGAATAGCAATGAACAAACTACAGTCAGAATCCTAAAAATGCTAAACAGATAAAGTAGGAAGGAGGAGAGGATAGTGCTCAAGTTACCATACTTCTCCCAGCAAACTGACTCCCTATGCAGCTTGACTGACACTCTGAGGAGTTTAGCCTTCTCCGAGTCTTACCTTCCTAGCCATATGCTAAACTAAAGAGGACTGTTTTAAACCTAGCCTTGAATAAAGAGATTCATGGTTTACACACCAGGTGTGCCAAACCGATCCAAGCAAACCTAATTATATATTATATATCATATACATCATATATACCATACATACATATATATCATAAATAATACACATAACATACAGCATAATATATAACATAATATACAACATAACACAATACATTATTGAATAATATATAACATAATACAGCATATATATATAATATATACACCATATATTATATATTACCTAATTATATGCTAAATTAAAGTAGAGTGCTTTAAGCCTGGCCTTGAATGTGGAGAGCGTATCTGCTTCCTTAACATAAATGAAGCTGATTCCACAGTAAAGGAGCTTGGAGCTAAATGCTCTGCCACCAACAGTGACCTTTGAGACCTTAGGGACCACCAGACGTCTGGCGTTTTGTGAGCGCAACGCTCGACTTGGTTGATACGACACTAACGTGTCTTGGAGATAAGAAGGAGCCAAGCCATTTATGGCTTTATATGTTAAGAGAAGGATTTTAAACTTTATTCTGTACTCCACAGGAGCCAGTGGAGTGATTTTAACACCGGAGTTATGTGCTCCCTCCTTTTGGTACCTGTTAAGATCCTAGCTGCTGTATTCTGAACGAGCTGGAAGCTCTTCAAAGAGGCTTTAGGGCACGCTGCCAGTAAAGCGTTACAGTAGTCAAACCTTGAGGTGACAAACGCGTGAATGAGTTTTTCCGCGTCACTTTTAGGAAGGAAATTCCTAATTTTAGCGATGTTCCGTAAGTGGAAGTACGCCGTTTTAGTTGCTTGGCTTATATAAGCCTTGAAGGAGAGTTCTTGGTTAAAAATGACTCCAAGATTCCTCACAGTGTTACTGGGTATTATACTGACATTATCAGAGTAATTATCTGGTTAGTGAGGGAGTCACGCAGGCGCTTCGGACCGAGTAGGATCACTTCTGTCTTCTCCGGGTTGAGAAGTAGGAAGTTAAGAGTCATCCACATTTTAAGGTCCTTTATGCAGGCACTGAGCTTTTCTAGCTGATCTGTCTGATTAGGCTTCATCGACAGATAAAGCTGTGTGTCATCTGCAGCAGTGGAAATTAATTCCATGCTTTTTAATAATGTTTCCTAACGGCAGCATGTAGAGAGTGAAAAGAATCGGTCCGAGTACCGAACCCTGCGGCACACCGAATTCCACTCCAGAATAAGGCGACAAGTCCTGATTCACATTGACGAAGTGATATCGATCTGATAAATAGGATTTAAACCAGCCAAGGGCTGTTCCTCTAAGACCTATATCACATTCTAGCCTCTGCAGTAGAATGCTGTGGTCTATTGTGTCAAATGCAGCACTAAGGTCCAGTAGGACCAGCACTGACACTTGTCCATTATCGGCAGCTAGTAGTAAGTCATTTGTGACTTTGACTAGTGCCGTTTCAGTCTATGATGAGCTCTGAATCCTGATTGAAAGACTTCAAACATATTATTTTCCTGCAGGTGGCAGCGGAGCTGCTCAGCTATAAGTTTTTCCAGGATTTTAGATATAAAAGTGAGGTTTGAGATCGGTCTGTAGTTTGTAAGTATTTCTGGGTCCAGGTTTGTTTTCTTCAGAAGGGGTTTGATTACAGCGGTTTTAAAAGCTTGTGGGACATAGCCACATTGTATGGATGCGTTTATTATATTTACGATAGGCTCAATTATCAAAGGAAGTATGTCTTTGAAGAGCCATGTCGGGACTGCGTCTAACATGCAAGTTGAGGCTTTTGAGGATGTGACCACAGAGATCACCTGCTTGGATCACAGCCATGAATTTATCGAGGCCCACTGAAGAGTCTAAGTGGGAAGTCACGTATGCCGCTTCAACCTGTCCACTACCAACAGCAGGAGTAACCTCCTCCAGCTTGTCACGGATGGATGTCATTTTATTATTAAAGAAGTGGAGAAAGTCGACACTGCTCAGTGAGCTTGGAATTTTAGGCTCGATTGCGCTATGGCAGTTTGTGAGTTTAGCGACGGTACCAAACAAAAATCTACTGTTGTTTTTATTCGCTTCTATTAAAGTTGAATAGTATTGAGTTCGAGCCCCGCGAAGGGCCTTCTTGTAGTTTCGGAGACCTGCTTTCCACTCCCTGTGGACAGGCTCCGAGTGGGAGTGGCGATATAGCCTCTCCAATTTTCTGACGTCCTGTTTTAAAGTGTGGAGTTGAACACTGTACCAGGGCGACGATGATCTAATCCTAATGGTTTTCTGTTTTAAAGGAGCTGCTGCATTTAATGCAGATTTTAAAGACTCCATAGTGTTGCCCACCGTTTGGTCAATGACTGAGGGACTGCAGCAGCTGTGAACAGGTTCACCTGCAGCAGTATTCAACATAGGCTGTATTAGTTCTTTGAACCTTGTGATAGATTTATCATTTAAGGTTCTTTTCATTATGGTTTTATCTTGCGGGACAGGAAAGTCCTCCAAAGCGAGATCAAACGTGATCAAGAAATGGTCAGACAGCAACGAGCTTTGACGCTGGATGTCAACATTGGAGACATCACAGCCGTAGGTCAGGACAAGGTCCAAGGTGTGGTTATGAATGTGAGTAGGTTCCTCGACATTCTGAGTAAAACCAACACCATCTAGTACGGCGCTGAAAGCTTTGTTTAAGCTGTCAGTGCTGTCGTCCACATGTATATTGAAGTCTCCAGCTATAACTATGTTTTCCCATTCCAAAACTAGGTTTGAAATGAAGTCAGAGAATTCTGTTAGGAACTCGCTGTAAGGACCAGGAGGTCGGTATAAAACTATAAATAGTACTGCTTTTTGTTTTCTCCACCCAGGACAGGTGATTGAAAGTGTTAAGTTTTCAAACGAGTGAAAAGCGTTGTTGGTTTTGGGACTAAGAACCAAGTTGGTGTGTGATATAATCGCAACACCACCGCCGCGACCTGTAGCTCTGGCTTTCTGGTAGTTAACATGCGGCGGAGGAGTGCACTCATTCAATCTAACGTAGTCGTCCTGTTGGAGCCAAGTCTCCGAGAGCGCTAACAGATCCAAGCCCTTGTCTATAATAAGTTCGTTTATGAGAAGCCATTTAGACGAGATTGATCTGACGTTCATTAAACCACATTTAACAACCCTACTGTTAGAACTATTTCCGTCTGTCTGAACTTTTATTAAGTTACTGTGTCTGACACCTAGGTCAGATTTCCTCATATAGTGCTTTAGACTTCAAGCGGGGAACACACACAGTTTCAATCTGACTAGGTTCTGAGGCTAGTAACTGAGCACACACAGGCACACACACACATGCACACACAGTTTCAATCTGACTAGCTTCTGAGGCTAGTAACTGAACAGATGGGGGCTCAGAGGTTGTGGCAGAGCAGCTCTGCACCCGGGCCTCAGTTCTGCATCGTCATTTGAGCCGAGCAGAACAGTTTAGAGCCAGGGCCAAATTCTTAGCCAAAAGGGATGTACCTGCCAACGTTGGGTGGATATCATCCGAGCGGATGAGACCGGGCTTTCCCCAAAAGGCACTCCAATTGTCAACATGAACAACACCACTTCGAGGGCACCAGCCAGACAGCCAGCGGTTGAAAGCCGAGTGTCTGCTGAATGCTTCTGCACTGCTAGTGCTAGGTAGGGGCCCAGAGAAGATGACAGTGTCGGCCATTGTGCTAGCCAGCTTGCACACGGCGGCGACTTGCAGCTTCAACACCTCGGACTGTTTCCGCCGAACGTCATTACCACCCGCGTGAATAACAATTCGACGGAAACGCTGCTTGTGGGTCATCATGAGCCTCAGATTCCCTTCAATATCACCAAGCCTGGCCCCAGGGAAGCACCG